CCACCACAAAAGATAAACTCATGCTATTTGCAGCAACATGAATGGAGCTGGAAGGGATTATGATAAGCAAAATAAGAGAGGAGAAAGAAATGCCAGATGGAGCGCAGAGAAACCAAACAGAGTCAGACAAAGGGAAACTGACAACAAGCCCTAGAAAGCTGACTATTGCACTGAGGCTACGGGAGCGGGAGGAGGAGGGACAGAACAAAGTGGGGAGGGAGCACAATAGACTGTGGGTGTTTTGGTGCTGGGTGTGGTCACAACAATGTTACCTTAATTAAAAAAAGATTACCAAATCACAAAGGAATAAAGGAGATTTTTTTTCAATGCCAGAATTCTATAAACAAATGTTAATTTTAAGATAAATGTATCTTAACTTTTGTGAAAACTTAATGGTGGCATCACCAAATTTCTTCAATTTCAGCTACATTATCCCAATAAATGAGAACGACCGCTGAAATGATGGACCGTGCTCCGTCGTCTCTTATCGTCTCTTGGTTGCAGTGACTGTACTTCAAGTGTTTGGAGGCTAATGGTTACCCCACTGGACACTGTACAGACCATCTTTACCACTGCAGTCATTTCCAGTCGACAAAGCTGTTTTGGCAATTATTACCTTCCTGAGCTTCATTCAGTTTCCTGATTTGTTAAATGGAAGAACGCAATTTCCACCAGTCCTGTCTCTGCAGGAGAAAAGCATCTTGTGGACACAACACTTCAGACACAAAGTATTGTTTCAAAATCTGACTCTTTGAACTCTTACAGTTTTCTGAAACGATGCAATCCTAAAAACTTGTGGTCAGGATTTAGGTCCAACTTCTGCCAGTTATTAATTTTGTACCCTTGAGAGTCATTTTCTTTTTTCTATAAAACAAGAAAAATTCCCTTATTGTGAGACAGCTATTCGCAGACTCAGGCTCACCGTAAAATGTGGGGCCACTACAATGCTTACAAGCAAATGTTGCTTCCCACCCACCCAGAGCCCCAGTCCACTCAGACTGGGGGTGGCGTGGGGTGGGGGCGGGGCGCCCTCAGAACCCTCGTCCAGATGGAGGCCAGTCTCGTCACCAGCCCTGAGTGTCCACATTCAACTCCTATTAATACAATGCACAAATGGTGCTTTTTTTCTTTATCTAATTTAAAGGCCATCAAAAAAACTAGAGATATTCTTCTTCAATTCAGATGAACCTTGTCAATAGGAACTTTTAATAAATAACCTTTGATGAATGAACTGAACTTGGAGTCTATTCCCATTGTTTTCATTCTCTATCTACTCACCATTTCTTTTTCTTCTAGATAAGTATTCCCTATGTTTCTGTCCAACTCATTTGCCTGTTAATTAGCAACATTCCTGTCCTTCACATCTTGTTAATCACTAGCCTTCGGCCATTTATATCCTAGAGTTATTCCAAGAAAACAGCAGACTCACACATATATTCTGTGACATATTTTGTCACTGCTAAGAATTATTATGGAGAGGCTATCAATCCATTCTTTCTCACTTGGATTTCCAAGAAAGTGCCCTCCATTAAGAGGAGGCCATGACAAAGAGAAATCTGTGTTTCCAAAGTGCAGGGGTGACAGCTGCGGGTGGAGTCTAGCCTAGCAAGATGGCAAAGGCTGAGACACCAACTGGGCTTTTCTTACTTGGAGACACTAAACAAACAGCAGGATTCTGGCAAGACTAAGAATAAAAATTAAAGAGCATATCTGATTACTAGAACATCTGCAGTATGAGATACATCAGCACCCTCTACTCATGACCCCTTGTGCTGCATTTCAGTGCAGATACTGAAACCAAGCAAGCAATGAGATCTCAGGGTCTGATCAGATCTCTCATTCTACAACCCATGTTTTACACAGCAAATGTGTTTTAAGCCAGTTTGTGAGCTGAGCACTAGGCATTTAAAATCTGACCTTTTCTATCCCAAGATAGGGTATATGACAACATGAAGATGCCAGTTTTTGTTGTATAATGTCATCTGTTAAACAGAGTTTTAATACTAATTTTCATACATAGTACTTTACTAAGCATTTTGATGAGCAGCTGCAATCTGTGGCTGTATCTACCAATAAGTAGAACAGAGAAGGATCAAGTTTCATTTTATAGATATGCAATTATTCTGACACTGGCATCTGAGCATTGATGCAAAATCTCCACCAACAGGATAATGTCAGAAAAACATTCCCCCAAGTTTATGAAGTTGTTATTTCAATTTGAATGTAAGAGCAATGTACTGAATGGGACACATTGTCTGTAAGACAGCTTTGGCAAGGATATTACCCAGTCACCTCTACTTCCTCTCTCCGCTTTCAAATACAACAGGCTTGGCCCAGGCTCTGGGGATGATGGGGCATTGATATTTGTATTTTGCCACTATATGAAGACATTCTCATTTAATGCACAGGGATTCTGACCTTAACCACTTTGTTACATTCAAGAGACCCTGTTTTTTCAGTACACAGATTTCAACAGACATCTACAGCTATGGTTACCTAACACAAATGGCTTGTAACAGAGACCATATTTACAGACCGCTGCCTAGAGCTTAATGAGCTGCCGTGGAGCCACGGAATTTTAATACTGGTTTTCCAGTCCAATACTTTAATGATGAGAAAGTATTAACTTATTTCTTAACTTTCGTAGTCTTTTAACATGGTGCTAGCTAGAAATATTGATACTATTTTCAAACTATTAAGTACTCAGCCAGGACATAAATAAAGATTGAAGTGGGAAGGGTTAATTCTAAATTATCTGGAAGTTTTGTGTTAGTTCAGATTTTATCACGGTGTGTGGTTCTAGTCACACAGTGCTGTTATCAACCGCTAATAAGATTTTGTTAGGATTTTTACATCTGGAGACTGCTAGGATAGGATAGATAACTCAGACAGGTAACATTTTACATGCTGCCTGTCTTCAAAGAATTTCACCCTACAAGACTTGAAATTGAACCCAACTCCTAAACATTGTGGGAGAAAGAGACATGGAAGCTAAGCTTCTGAGCACTTGCAAGGACCAATGTAGCCATGTGACTAAGACTCAAGTCTGTATTTATTCTCATGTATCTCTGACCTACACGGTCACATTAAATATGAACGTAGCATGATTGCTAGAAATAACGACACTCTAAATCAGCCGTATTTTAATTTGAAGGAAATTAGAAGATCAAACTATTTTGAAACATGAAATCTTTGGACAATGTGAGGGTCCGGTCTTTGATACTGATGCTCACACCAGTGAGTGACTGTGGAAGATGCCCGAGGCCATGGCAAGTCATGAGGGGCACTCGTGGCAGGAAAGTCATTTGGATTATTTCAGCCCAGAACAGAAACAGAGACATGGACTAGCACTTTCAAATGTCTCGCTTTTCTGAAATATTCCAGAAGGATCATGCTCTTAGTCTGAATGGACAGCTATACTTTGAAATTAAAAGAGTAATTAAAAGGACATATGTATGCCTTATTCTCCTTGGCTATGTAGCGGCAAAGGCAAACAATACCTCTAGCTTTTTATTTTCTGGACTCAATGCAAAAATAAATATTAATTTTCATTTCACACTAGAAACACTGCACATATGAGGAAAACAGAACTATAATCTACAATTACTGGACTTACTTTCATTTGCCTGAAGTGAACAGCGAACACTATTTCTACAAAGAAATTGGCTGATACCTCAGCCAGTAAGAAATAAGAGACAGGAAACTAAGTGGGCTGCTAGTGTCAGAGATTATCCTGAGGCACATAGGATGTCATATCAGCTGTCCAATGCAGTGACACCGATGGGAAGACCCCTCAAGCAAGACCCCGCAGTGAGAGCAAGATGGCAGAAAACAATTCCAGAGGAGAAAGAGCACCACGGCGCCGGGTTCTAGTTCCAGCATTCTTTTCCTTAGTTAAGGCATAGTTTGGCTGTTATTACTAGTACATTTATGTTGAAAAGATGATGTGTATTTCTAATACTGAAGACCATGATAAAATGTTAGCCAAATGCCAATCTTGCCTCTCATCATTTGTCAAAAAACAGAGGAAAAGCTTATCAGTATCAAAGCAGAATCCATTTTTCTACATTTGATTTAAAACCCTGACTGACCACTAAGTGCTAACAGACAAGTGGTGGTAAAATTACTGAGGCTTTTTTTTTAGGGGTAGTGGCCATAGACTAGGTATAGTTGTAATGAGCGAGTCATAAACGGAATGAACAATAATAGATATAATCAGTATATCTTAATCCTCAGAAAACCTCTCTGAGTCGCATTAAGTCACATGAACTGGAAAAACAAGGATGAAGTAGATGATTCTAAGATTACTTTTAATTCCACAAACAGAAAAAAATCTCATTCATAGAGTCACCAACTGGTAGAAAAAAAATCTGAACAATAATCCTAGTAAATTGGCAACATAATTTTTTTTTATATTTTCTTGCTTAATGTGCATTGCTCAGAAGTAGGTTTTCTATGTCAACCAATAATTTATAAAGGTGGTAATGCAAGTCTTCCATTCCTTCATCAGACAACCATGACAGCCATGCAGTAATGAGCTGAGAGCAGGGGCAAGGAGCGGATGGATACTGGAAAGTTGCCACACACACGAACGAGACCCACCCCTGGCATAAAAGCAGTTTCCGGAAGGTGACTGATCACTCCTGAGGCATCCCGTCCCATAAAGGACAAGGGTTACTGGAGATGGTTACAACTGCAGAAATGCAAACTACTGGGATTCCTGTTAGAGAGCAATTCTAGAAGTTTCAGGTGTATGGTGAGCAAACGCTGTGGGAGGTGCTGAAGCCTGCAGCAGGAGGGGACTGTAATGACATTGCGCGTGGATAGCGGGTCACAGAAGACAGAAACGTGAAATTAAAAGTCGCTAGAAAGAGCACCAAAAAAGGAAAGCAGGACTAAAGCAGCCAGTCACATTATATTACTTAGTTGACACGAGGCTTGACCCGTCTGCGGGGCCACCACCTGCATGGACCTCTGGAAGGGTTTACACAGCATAGTACCTTTCTTTTCGCCTTGAGCTGCTCATGGTACTTGTCACAGGTGTCTCCTGGGACTTCTCCGCCCCAGAGAGTGACTCCCACGATGGTGTAGGTGACGCCCATGATAAGCAGGGGGAAGCAGTACACCAGGACGATGACGATAATGTGGTAACTGCAAGAAGGAAGACCAGGCTGAAGGGCATACGGGGACAGAACGGGGGTAAGTAAGTTATTCTCAATCATCACCAAAATGCCCAATTACTTCCACTTCTGTCAGGCCTCATTTTACAAACTCTCACATTCTCATTCTGTTGTCAATGGCTTGTGACCCCCAGCCCGGCTCCGAATGCAGGCCTGTCCTCGGCTCAGTCGGTACCGAGCTAACCTGAGGTGTCATCAGAGGAAAAGAGGGCAAAGTGCCCCCAACAACTGACAGATACCCTTCTCCCATGCAGGCCTGTTGAGTGCCTGCAACGTCTGACCTGTTTTAAAAAAGCTGTTTTTCATCCAAGTGAAAAGAAAAAGGTCAGTAGATGCTCCGAGCCATGTTAGAGCCACAAGTTAATTTACTGTGATTTGGAAGACCAGGTAAAGACATTTGTGGGCATTTCTGCAGTCGATGCATTTGGAATTTGCTAAGAAGTAGCACAGAGATGTGTTAGCCACGCCAAAGGCATACTGCAGTTTACCAACCTGAATCTTAGGCTTGTATAGCTTTCCATCAAAAGCATAAAGACAATGCTAGGGAGGTCGAGGAGGGCGGCCACAACCGCACAGCCCAAGCAGCATCAACACACTCTGCAGTGGTTGCGCTCTGGCCAGGGGGGGCCTCACTGCTTCCTTTGGTTTCCCGATTGCTGACTGAGCCCCGACATGAAGTCAGCAGAAATGACTTCGTCCATACAGACTATTTTTTATTATGATTTCCTTAAATGACTAAGACTTACCAAGGTGATGGGCAGACTACAGTCCTCAGTGTAGTAACTGCTGCCTGTTTTATCTGAGTGCTTAATATTTTTCTTCAAATTTCTGGAATGTGGGTAGAGTTGAGCTACATAAAATGGCTGCTATACAAGATGACTGTTACATTCACATTTGTTATTTTTAAATGGAAAAATAGGTCACAAGATAAGAATTTTATTGAAACAATTTAAATGCTAAAAATGGAAAATAAATTTCACCCAATTACACAATGTTTTTCCCTTTGCTTCTCTTAAGGTGGGTCCAAAATATGAAATATTAACTTCTCTCATGCAGCATCCTTATTTCCTTTCCAATTAAGATTAAGGTTTCTTAGAAGAGCGGCCCCCACCTGAGACCGAGTCCCTCCACTCACTGCTTTTCCAGCCCCAACAGTCTTGCCTTCTTGGGCGCTTTGCTCTGTCTCCAGTGCCCGCACCACCTCCCTGCGGATGGTACAGCAGCTATGCCAGGTGGAAATCGTGCTACCTCACTGATAACAGTGTACATGAGAGGCTGTGAGGGAAATATCTTGCATTTGCCTCGTTACAGTTGATAGGACCTTGAGCATTCAAATAAATGGAACTGAAAATCACAACAGAGAATTAACTCACGTGAAATGTTGTTTGGGACCTTCTGGCCACTGCACGTAGCAGAGTGTCCGGCCTGGCATAACTTTGGTTTTGGAGTAAAGACACTGAGGGAAGGCCAGCAGGAAAGCGAGGACCCAGATGCTTGCGATGACAAGTTTGGTGGCTGTAGCAGACAGTCTGGGCTTCAAGGGATCAATAATGGCCATATACCTGCATGAAAATAAGCAAAACCATCTTGTGGGTTCTCTACAGGCAGAGTGCAGAATGTCTAAGACCTAGAAACTCACCTAGATCTGTAACTCAGTCAATTCAATAAGGAAACAAACAACCCAAAACAAGTATGGGCAGAAGAGTTACAGACTTCTGTAAAGAGGACACAGACGGCCAACAGGCACATGAAAACATGTTCAGTACTCATCAGGGAAACACAAATCAAAACCACGATGAGATACCACCTCACAAGTGTGAGCATGGCCCACATCCTATAAACAGAAACGTGTGCTGGGGAGGGTGTGGAAAAAGGGGACCCTCCTACACTGTGGGTGGGAATACAGACTGTCCAGCCCCTGTGGAAGACAGTAGGGAGGTTGCTCAAAATAATAAAAATAGATCTACCATATGATCCAGCAATTCCACTCCCGGGTATCTACCCAAAGAATGCAAAAACACTCACTTGAAGAGATACACACACTCCTATGCTCACTGCAGTACTATTTAACTGCACAATGACACAAATAAGTTAAAAAGATTAGTCTGTATACACAATGGAATACTATTCGGCTATAAAAAGTACAGCCCCTGCTATTTGTAACAATATGGATGGATTTGAAGGGATTATGTTAAGTGAAATAATTCAGGAGAAAGACACATACTGGATTATTTCACTTATCTATGCATTAGAAAACAAAACAAGGGGTAGGCAAAACTAAATCAACACAAACCCTAAATATGTGACTGCAGAACTGAGACTACCAGAAGGGGAGGGAACCCAATGGACTCCGGTGGAGGACAGTGGGTGCCCTTAGCAGTAGGGGTGGTGATGTTTACCGAAGAGCTGTGAACTGTACCCCCATTCATGTACAATGTTATATAAAATGCAATTAATAGAATAAAATGCAATTTCAACGGCCAGGGTTGTCTTTCCTTCAGTAAACAAGCTGATGAGGGTTTTGTTGTGTGGTGTTAGCATACACGTGTAACCATGGTGAAGTCCTAGAATTCAGGCAGCTATAGATTCAAATCTTCTTCTGTCACTTAATCTTTCTGAACCTCAGCTTCATTTTAAAAATAGAAATGAGAACGCCTACCACCTAGAGGTAAAGTCAAGACCTAGAGAAGTAATTTAAGTGAAAGGTGTTGATTATTTGGTGATGTGCCTAGCACATTATCAGTATTTGTAAGTGTCTGCTGGATGAACTGGAAATACGTAGAGTAAGTACTTAAAATCACGAGTTCTGCAGTCAAATGCTCTACCACTGAGGTATACCTCCGAATTATGAATTCTGTACCAAAACATCTCCAATTTTTCTACTTTAATTTTTAAAAGAAAATTCTGAACAACAGCTATGAAAAATTCCTACAAAAGATGAGAAGTCTCAAGGAACAAGATTGTGAACATACCCATTTAAAAGCTTCAAGAGGGAAGTTCAAACTTCAGATAGGGATAAGTAAAGCAGGTTTGACTAAGGCTAGTCTTCTTCAAAATTGAATTCATACTGCATCACAAAATTTTTCATTGACTATCTGTTCATTTGTGTATAAACATAGGAAAATACATTTCATGTTCTATAAATGTACTTACATATGATTTTTACGGTGCATCATTTTGGAAAATTGGAAACTCTGAGTATGGTAACAAAACTCAAGCTTTCTTCATTTGATGTACCATAACTGCCAAATTCTGGCTCAAATTCAGAGAAGAAAAAACTATATACCAAAATGATTATATTTTTGCATTTTTCTGTTGGCCAAACAAAAGCTACTTTTTAAAAAATTTTTGCTGTTGGCCATTTTGATTTCTTATATACATATATATTATATATATATATATAAAGTATGGAATATAAACTCATGTACTCTGCTTAGTCTCTTTCTTCAAAATGAGAGTTTTTGTTAGTGTTTCCTGATTTCTGCTTTTAATTTAAAACACTACTTTTAGATGGACTTTAAAAGTTTTATCTTGCATATTTCTTAACTCTTGGTTCTCTGTGGTGGTATTTGTAATTTTGAGATTGACAAAAATCTCGGGAAGATCCATCATTTTTCATGTTATATTATTTGTATTCTTTTACTTTTTAACCTACTTCTACCTTTTTTTAAATAAAAGTGGGTTTCTTAGATGTATCATATAGCTGGATCTTCCTTTCTTAATGTAATCTGATCTCTGTTTTTTTATAACTGTTTAGACCATTTATACTTAATGTAGTTATTGAAATAATTGATTTTAAAGTTAGCATCTTATTTCTTTTTGACTCATCTGTTCTTTTCTCATTCTTTTTCTCTTGATCTCGTTCTCTTTGAACTTACTTTTTAATGTTTCATTTTATTTCTTTTTTTGGCTTACAGTTGTTTTTGGCATGTAGTTGCTTTAGATAGCACATTTTAAACTAAATCACAGTGTAACTATTATGCCATTTCACAAGTAGTACAGAAACCTAACCTCTCAAATACATGTTGATTTATGCAAAATCTTCAAAATATTCTACAGTAGTATTTTCATTAAAGGATGAGTATTATTTAAGCCCAACAGATTTAAACCTTGAGAAAGTAATTTAAAATGAGAGTAATTCATCAAGTTTCTTATTATTCCTCTTTTGTAACTATTAGGCAGGATTAGCTCTAGCTCTTCAGCAGATGTCAGAAGTTACTCGTCTTTTTAATTTAGTCATCAATTATTTAAAGAAAGCATTCTTAATTTATTATGTATGACAGCTAACAGATAAATGTGAATGTTCTATATAAGAAAACAATCAAAAACATTACGTTTGTTTAGGGAAATAAAGTGAACACTTCAAAGGAAACAAAATGTTCATGTTTGAAACTGAACACTGCTGAAGTCGCCTTGCTGCTTCTGGTGGCCAGGACGACAGGGGTGGTTGCTCAATGCAAGCCACGACCAGGTAATTCACTGGACCTATTTTAAGTATGTGATATGTAGAATAATCCAAGCAATCAAGTAATGTTATTAAATCTATTTTACAGAAAAGAAAATGGCGCCTTAAAAAGATTCAGTAAATCTTTCAAAATAAAATCCCAGTGCTTACCATCTGGGTTATGTCATTTATTTTCTCACAAGTAGCCAAGGTTACTGCGCAGATATGTGGCAGAGCTGTGATTTGAATTCAGATGCAGCAGGTCCTACTGCCCCAAGCTCTCCCTAACCTTCTGTCACACCCCAGGTGTCTGCTCCGCCCTGCCCTCTGCCACTGCCTCCCCTGCCTACCTCACGACACTCCCCCTCAATCCTTCATTTGCCTGTAGGATCTCGGGGAAAAGGGGTCAATCCACGTTGGCAACTTTAGCACCTGTATCTGGCATGTTTTATGTATTCACTAATGATGAGTCAGTAAGTCAAAGACCTTTCTTCATTGGTGGTGTTGTAGAGACTGATCCTAAACTTATCTCAAGAACAAAAGAGCTGATTGAACACAAAGTATAATTAGCAAATGGCAAATTCAGAACCTGAGGGTCCCTAGAAGTCTGTAGTGGTCACTGTATAATCCTCGGCCAGGGCCAGTGCTGGCCCTCACTGAGGGACTTGGTCCCTGTCCTGCAGGGTGGGCACTGTAGCCCTTTCTGCTGGGGTTCAGAGTTTACATCTGCAGCTCTACAGAACAGCTTCTGAACAGAACAATGTGGTGGATTGTGAAAGAGAAAGAAAAGTAGGTACCTTTCGAAGAATCTTAAGTAGATTTTTGCCCTCTGAATCCAAAAGCATTTATGTGCAAAAATTAAACAAAAACTGATGGCACGAAGTCAATACCTGTGAGCAGGTGTTTCTGTTCCCCATATGTTGATCACACACTGAGTTATTTGTGGTTGTTCCAGAGTCAAGGGCAACATTGGTCAGAGGATTTTGTTTAACTGGACACTTCTGCACTATCATAATCTTGTGGTCCTGAAAAGTCATGACTTCAACCTGGATACCGAGACAGTATTTTGAGACTAAGAAGAGAAGGTGACACGCAATGCATTCACATTCTGTCTGGCTCCTGTGGCATGGATCATGGAAAACACGTGGCAGGTGTCTTGCTGAATTTTTGGCAACAGTTTAATGCTAGGAAATTGTTTCCAGCATTAGGTAGAACATTATTTTATTTTAATTGTATGGAAGCCATCAACTTCTATTCTCACTGAATAACAACGCTTCAGTGTAGGGATACATTTTTTGTCATTCTGGGTCTGACGCTGTATCCGTTCATTCACTGAATGTACTGTGGTATTTCAGACACTGCAGCGCAAGGACAAACCCCTCCACAGAGCTCACAGTCTGCTGAGGCAGAGACTACTCAAGTAATCTCACCAACACATGTAATGTGCAAAGGCAAGATAAATGGCCATATCAGTATATCTGCTGGGAGAAACACTTCAATTGTGCCTTTTCTTTCCCTAAAGGAAAGTCATTCTAGGCTAGGGGCAGAGGGTGGGGGCCACTAAGATGATGTCTGTGAGGGCAAACTGTGTGAAAAAGTCACGTGGATGGTGCGTTTTTATGGGTTAAACTGTGACCCTAAAAAGGAAATGAAAGTCCTAACTTCGATCACAGGATACACCCTCACATAGCAATCAAGCCAAAAAGGAGGTCCATGGTGTGGTGTGGGCCCTGAAGGGGAAATCCGAAGCCAGAGAGACAGATGGAGGGCCCCTCTGAGGTGCAGCTGGGAGATGGGGCTGCACGCTAAGAGCACACAGAAAAGATGAGGGTGGCAGGGTTTGTCCTATGGAAAGCATCAGTCCGGGGCGTGGAGCGACGGGGCTTTTAAGCTACAGGGGAGGAGGTATGAAGTAAACTTAAATATATGCATTTATGCTCATGTACACATCTAACAGGAAGTTTGAAAAAGTCACAAGAAACAAGCCACTGTTCCATATACTCTTTATTTTTTGGTTATTGAAAGTAACATTTATGCACGGCCTTGGAGGAAACAGCACTGAAGGATGGTTTCAGAGCAATGGGTGTCTGACATCCACTGTGTACACTTTCCACT